TATCTCACACTGCTGTTATTGCGGAGATTCACTAATTAATCACTTGGTAACTTGTATAGTTCAGTGTTGTTTAAAAAATCTTTCTACCATAATTCTCGGTTTTCCCGGCCTCCATAGTTCTAACCACGGCAACACCTATTGACGTACTGAGGTAGAGCGAATGGATGATCGATATTTTGATTAGAAGAGATTCAGTAGGTGACACCATTAGTCGGTGGAATCACGATTTACACACCCGTCCCGACATGGTTATACGTCTAGAGTATACTGGCTAAGTAAGGCGGGAAACCGTTTGATTATGGCTTTCATTCACTGACCACTGACTGGAGTGGGCTAGCCCTATGCCCAACCACGTACTTCATTAGCGCATAGGAAATGCAAAATTAATTTTAATTACGTCAAGTAACTTGTCCAAACCATCGCTAGCAGCATAGGTAAGTGAGACAAGGGAACAATGTCTACAACCAAGATAACCACTGTGCGCCCAGTAATGAAAAACACAGTCAGCATTGAGTAATATTTGGAAACGCTTGCTTACCCTTGGACTTCGCAAAGCTACGGCTTTCTTGTATGAGTCTGGGTTTCTCGGGATTGTAACGATCGACTTCGGGAAAAGTCACCACCCAGCACTAGAATGAAAAAAAAAAACTTTCATTAAATTGTGTTCGAGTAGATTTATATAAATGTTCAAGAAAAGGGTTTCATAAAAAATGTTTAACGACTGTCGGGTGCAACATAACGTTTATATTTCTAACAGTCTATTCATTACACAGTGACATATCCGCTTCAAAAAGTAACAAACTATGCGAAGCGCAGCATGAAATAGAAGGTGACGCACAGAGGAATCACAAAGGCACAAAACGAATTGAAAGAAATTTTTAAAATAGAAAAGAATAAAAGTCGTTACCGAAAGCTCCTTTTCCTTTATATAATCCATGGTTGCAACTGCCCTGTGTACGGCGAAGTTATCCCGATTCACAAAGATAAAACAGTGCTAGAAGGGTGGGTGTAAGAAAACAAAATTAGTTGAGGTCTTGACTATCACCTAGACTATGCTATTTTTGTTGTATCCAAGAAAATTGAAACAAATAGCACGCAATAAGAAAAAGCTCTCCGAGAATCAATAATTTATATCAAGCTAATGGCATAAATTTTCATGGAACTGAAGATCACTCAAACAGCTTCTCGTAATCCAGAAGTCCTAAGACTAAAAGACAACAATTTGAGCAGTCTCCATTCTTCGGATTCATATTTTAACACGGAAACAGATTAAGTACTTAACTTGACACTAAAGTTTGCCTAGAATGACAGTAGTTGGGCTTTACCACAGGAATCTCAATGGACATTGACTGTTATAAAAATATTGTCAACTTTTAGAGTGCCTACTGGAATTCTGCCTTAATAGCAAAATCTAGCGACTACGGAACAACCGCAAAGGAAATCTAGCGTTGTACAGCTGGGGGCACTTTGATTGGCAGAGACAACAGCCCACTCAGTTAGCCACCGGCACTCGACGACATCCACTTTTGGGGCGGCCTCTGCCAGCAAATGATATCAAGATAGCAAGGTAGGCAGATGAATACAGTCTAGCGAGACAAGCCGACTAGTAACCCTTTTAAACTAGGTATGGGTATTTTGCAATAATCAAACATTCTTATGTCGACATAATGCGCGAACGCAAGTGTCACATTCTGCGTCAATAAACTGAAGTGAACTGAAGGGTGAAGTATCCGCACGCTGATTTTTATCCCCTAACAGCAATTATAACGACAACTGGTCCATATGCGTAAGTAATTATGAAAGAGTGAATAGATGGACGTTATGTAATAAATCACCTGGTAAAAGTAATATCCAAAGACCGGAATGTACTTCAGCATATTGAGCAGAATAAATCGAAGACGGCCAATGCCTCCCTGACGAGCGATAATCATGTTGCATATTACCCAGTCAACTATATGTACAATAGATATGACGATAGAAGAGTACCTGATGACTGGTGATTGCACATGAACAGCACATTTTCTTTCCGTTTCACGTAATCGTGATCTCCATAGAAATAAATCTACCTTTCAAATTTGAATAAAATGCCTTTACCTTCTTGGTAACAAAAGGCTCAAAGAACAGGAGCACGCAACGTTGATACCAGGAGTAAAGTTTGTCATCAAATGTGTGGTAAACCATGGTCGGAAGGAAGGATGAAGCAAGCCATAGTATTATCCATATCACTAATACGGTTGGGGCAGCCACAAGTAGAAAGGCGAGCGTCAAGGCCGGCAAAAACAGCCTTATCAAAGACCACATCCCGCGAGTGAATTTGCAATAAGAAGAAATGCACACTGAAAACGAAGACCTAATAAATGCAGCCAATAAACGAATTACAGAACCTGAGAACGATGCAAACAAACAAAATTTCTGTTTTGTTGAGTGTATTTAACAGAAATAGGCAAACGCATTTCAACTCCATATCCTTTTTATAAGAACCTCGAGAATAAGCAAAAATTTAGATAAATGAAGCGTAAAAAGAACAGAATCACACTGTAACGCAAAACACTCGTGTTGTATATTAGAATAGTTCACTTGGTTTTGCCGCATATGTCTGTCAAGCTCAAGCTTGAATGTCCCCAGACTGCGACATTTGCAAAAGTAGCACACAAACATTGCCATTCCTGTACACGGCCATTGATACACAAGAGGAAGATGGTTGGTCCAAGCACTTAAACTTGTCAGAGTCTATCTTCTATGGCTTTTTTTGGATTGGTCGATCTTGCCTTAGCGCGGGTGGTTGTATATTGTACATTTTTATTATGCCAGTATACAGGCAATTCTAAAGAGTTGGTAAAGCACCTCTTGGGCGCCTTCCCAAACCTCGAAGACAGGAAAAAACTAAAACAAACTCCCTCTTTTGCAGCCAGT